TCCTGGACACCGATCGTTCCTTTTTTCTCTTGGCCGACTTGCTCCTATTACGTCCACGTCCCTTCGGCTCCGCGTTGTTCATGTCTACATGGTTGTTTGGTGCAGCGTTGATGATTACCATCTCCCTTTTAAGCTCCTCAATCTCTTTCTGTTTCTCAGAAAGCTCGACCGCAAACTGCTTAATGAGCATGGGAATCATGTCGGAATTATCGTTCCCAATGCTGACGCTCATGCTATAGGCCTGCTGTAATATAGTCTCTAGCTTGCGTGTGATGCCTTGGCTGGTCTCTTCCGATATCTTCTTACGGAGGGAGCGCTCGTCGTTCAAGGCCTGGCGGATCCAACCACATGCATCGAGCACGGCTTGATAGTTGGGGTCAACCTTGGCTTTTTTATGCACAGGACTACGGGGACTCTTGGGACTTGGGACGTTCACGTCCATCGGAGTCTCCATTTTTGATTCTGTCTGTTGCGCCAACTAAACTTCGCGGTAATCTAACCCTGATCGAGGGGTTAGGCGATAAAATTCACGAAAACACGCTCGGGTATTGGCTCGCTGATTTGGCACTACACTTAAGTTTAGCTCCTGGGCGTAAAAAATAAGGTAAGACCGTAAAACTTTCACAGGACGCTCGGAGCACCCTTTCGGAGGTAACACCCAAATTTGGGGGCGATCGGCCCAAAATTGGGGAAAATCCCTTTGAAGGGATTTTTGACCCCTAGAGTGGAGACGTATCGGATGCGCGACTTTAAAACAAATTTATCCGCGTTGGTCCCGTCGAAATCGGGTCAAAACCGACGGAGTTATCGCGACTCAAAAATTCCCAAAAATGGGGGGGGGGGGGGGGGGGGTGGGGGGGAAACTTTTAATATGTAGTGTACCCCGGTGGGTACACTCCAAATACGTTGACCCGGGATCGATCCGACGATCGGTTAGCAAGTTACGGCACTTTGAAAAATTGGGGGGGGGGAGTATTCCCGAAATTGGCCGCGGGGGTTTCGGACACCCTGTATATGGGGGCCGGTGCCGCCCAGTATACTAAAAACCAAAAATTTGGGTGAAACCGGGTTTCAGTACACCCTGTATATTTTTGCGCAGTGAAAAAATACACCCTATATAATATTTAAATAAATTAAATATGCGTATACGAGCAATATGGCCGCGATGGCCGCAGCGACGAACGACTCAAACGGCAATGCCGTTTGTAACGCAACACGATGTACAAAATACCACGTTGTGGCTTACCTGTTTGCAACAGCTCAGACCCAAAATCGACTATAAGTCGATTTGGTATTATCAGAACGACTCGAAAACGACACCGATCTGCCCGCGCACTTTTAATACGTTCAAAAATATCAATTTTTGAAAATACGAGATGAAACTCAAAGAGTTGTGCCCAAAAATGTGGGGAGCAATCGTGAAACACGTGTGCTCTGTTCCACTATTAATACGGCACTACTTCTTTATCGAACAAAAAATCCTCTATTGTATCAAGCCTGAGAACGCTTTTGATGTCGTAGAAAACAGCATCGCCCATTAATTTCAAATGAAACTGAGTGCTGTAATGGTATCCGCACTCCAGGTGACGGTACTATATCAATTGGCCGTCGTCATTGTAACCGGTAGCCAATTGCTTTTTCGAGCTTTGTTGTATTTTATCCAAATCATTCACCACTTCTTCCTTGTCATTGGAAGTCCGCACACCGGTTATGAGAAAAACCATTACATACCATAATTTCAACACTGTCACTTTGTCACCTCTTACAATTATTGCTTAATCTGCGAAATATTATAATACTTTTGTATTAATTATTTACAGCTATCATCGGTAAAAGAACTTCGCGTCGATTTTACTTACTCCAACTTGTAGATGCGGCTTTCGGTGTACTTGTGCAAAGTATCGATACAGTTTTCGAACAAATACCGTCGTTGTTTTTTACATAAAGCACTAATTTACACCAAAAGTCGCGCGAGGCGCATTGAAAACATAAAACGAATGTGTGTTCCACGTGTATACGATTTATGATAATACAACAGAAAAACATACCTTAATTTTCAGTAAGAAAATATAGTAATATTTTCTGTAAGAACTAACGATAATTTTAGTCTACACGACGATTACATACGGCGAAATACATTTGACCTGTCACTCACGTTAGCATAGACATTGATTAATAGTAAAAAAATAAGGGTAGGAATCAAAAGTAGAACCAACCCGTTAAAAATAGCACTTTTTGACGACTACTATTAAACAAATATAAAATAAAATAAAACTGACTAATATAAAAAAATATGGTACTCAGTATCATTATTCTTTTTTACTAAAAAGACTATACAAATAATAGTTATTATGAAAAAGATAATTTTATTTTCATTTATTGCTACAATAGGTCTCAGGCAGGGCACCTACCAATTTCTACAATAGGGTCATGAATAATTTAAAAATTCTAAATTGTGTACAGCACTTACTTAAATGTATGTAGAACCTTTGGTAAACGTTTTGTAATAGACACTTTTTTTTTACTAGGAGCTGTAAGATTTTAAATTTTTCAAATTTTGTATCGTAGGACTATAATAAAAGTTAGTACTATTATCTTTATTAATTAACCTCGATATCCTCCTCCATAATACCTTCATACTCCATATTTCATAATAAAGACATCAACACTGTGACACCTAACATGTCATAGTTCCAGGAACAACCATTTTTTTTTAAATTAAGCCTTTCCAATTTAATATCCTATTTATTTATGAAGACCTTTTACCTTGGCTTTTGGTAATAAAATATGTTAATATTATGTAATACCGTGGGGAATTGAAATTATAAAAAATCATTAACGTTTTTGACGATTATTCCGTTAAATTATTTATTTATTTATTTAACGGGCAGAAAGTCCAATTAGTATAGAAAACAGAGACTATAAGATATAGCCGTAATATAGGTATTTGTAGAATAGTATATAATTTATTATTATGGTAATTAGTGAGAAATGAGGAAATTAGTTTATGATTTTGATAAGTTGTTTATTAAATTAATACTAAGAGTTCGAAAAATATTGATGGACTATTATGTTGCAGAACCTCTTAAAATTAAAGAATTTTTTTTTAAATGTAAATCGTATTTAATAGGCATTAATAAAATTCTACCATTTATTTAGCTTACAAAACAAATTGGTAATCGTTTTACTTTGGAAACAGCTTCTTATTTTTGTTCAACCAATAGTTCAGCCTATGTTATTTACATTTAAATGAACACAATAACAAAAAAATGTGTTTTTACACATTACGTATGTGAAAAAATCAGCCTTTTTAGCTTCGATTCGGAGCAGAGATGATATTTAAGTATTATTGTCGGTTATTACACATAATTCTTATTTGCTATAATATTTGTAACAATAGGGTACTGTCATGCAAGCGAATTTAATCGTACTAAAACACAAATTATAAAGCAAAATATATCTAAAAAACAACTTGTTTTCCATAAAACAAAAAAAAATTGTAAAAATACAATGGTTTGTAAAAAAACCACAGTTCTCTTATTGTTCAAATTTAAAACAATTATTGATGCTACCAGTTGAATTATTTCCCTTTTTCAAGATTTCCTTAATAAATATAAAGGGACTACAGATTATTGAAATATATATATATATATGTAATTGACACATTTTTCATCTCCTATTGGTCTCATTGTCAGTCCTAAAACCCTAAAACTTCACCTGAAAATTGAAAAAAAGAGAAATTGTTTCCACGCTTTTCAGGGGAGTATTATGATATTTGTTTAGTTTGTCAACGTTTATCGGTAGTTCTACTATGCTAAGACTACCGCTAAACGAAGACAAACCAAACAAAAATCATGAATCTATTCCCCTGGAAGGCGTAGAAGTTTTATGGTTTTTTGGGACAAAGCCAAAAAGGGGAAAATTACATATATTGTTTTATAATTTGTATTCTAGAATGACTGAATTTGCTTGAATATTGTTACAACTACTATAGCAAATACAAATTTTGTATTAAAACCAATAATAATATTTTAAAAATGTCTTTTCGCCTTTGTATATCTATCTTCCAGTTAACACATTTTTTGTAATTGTGTTTGTATTGATGTAAATGAAATAGGCTATTGGTTGAAAAATTAAGAAGCCGTTTCCAAAAAAAAAAAAAAAGTTCTCTTTCAAATAAACGCTATAATACTTAATTGTAAGCACTGCACCTCATTATTTCTTACTGTCCTGTACATAGTACAAAGTTCGTGTTTGAGGTCATCGTTAGGGGTGGAATTTTCTACTATGCCAGTTATCTTTGCGGCAGTGTACTCAATAACTTCCCAAAGTTTCATGGCGATCGGTTGAACGGTTTACTAATGCATAAAGGACAGACAAACAGACAGAAATTCATTTATATATATATATAGATTAGCCGTTTCCAAAAAAAAAAAAGTTCTCTTTCAAATAAACGCTTTAATACTTAATTGTAAGCACTGCACCTCATACTTTCTTACTGTAATTGGTTTGGACTGAACTTGTATGAAAATACTAACTACTATTGATATATATTGATACTATTGTTTATTGATATGTATTTCGCGGTATGTAATTTAATATGTGTGTAGACTAATAGGATCGTTAGTTTTTACAGAAAATATTAGCATATTTTCTAACTAAAATATAAGGTATGTTTTTTTTTGTTGTATTAACAGAAATCGTATACTTGTGGAACACACATTTGTTATATGTTTTTCGATGGTACAAACGCGAAGAAAAAAGATAACAACAATATTTTATAAGCACACCGAACCACATATTGTTTAAACAAGAGCTTTGTGTAAGCAACGCGTAGATATTTTGATAAAATATAAATGTATATTGATGCATAGATGAGGTGTATACACGCAATGAGGTCATACTAACAAAACACCTTGCAAATACGAATTTTCAAAATCATTATATCAATAATTTAAAAGCGCCTCGCGCGACTTTTTGTTTAAATAAGTGCTTTATGTAAAAAACAACGACGGTGTTTGTTTGAAAACTGTTTCAATACGCCGCACAAGTACATTGACAGCCGCATCTAGAAGTCTGAGTAAGTAAAATCGACACGATTGTCTTTTATCGAAGATATAGCAGCTAATAATTAATACAAAAGTATTATAATATTTCGCAGATTAAAGAAAAATTGTAAGAGGTGTCAAAATGGCTGTGTTGAAATCATGGTATGTAATAGTTTTTCTAATAACCAGTGTATGGTCTTCCGACGACATGGCAGAAAAGGAGAGTTATTTAGACAAATTACAAAGCTTAAAGCAATTGGCTACCGGTTACAATAACCAAGACGAATATGATCGTAAAAAATTGGAAACTTTGTCTCTCGTGGATTTGCGTCAAAAAAGTTTGGACTTGTACCGTTACCTGGAATGCGGATACTGTAACAGTGCTCTGTTTCATTTGAAATTAATGGGCGATGCGGTTTTCGACAACATCAAAGATATTCTCACGCCAGAGACACTTGAGGATTTCTTGTTTGATAAAGAAGCGTCTATGATGCTCGATTCGTTGTTGGTTCTAAACAACTATGAGGTAAAAAATCTTTGGTTAGTTTTTATATACACCCGCCAAATAAGGGTTTTCTTTGGGCAAATTGTTAATGACGGTGGTAAGTTTAGTTCGAAAGTTTTAAACAAAACACGACGGATGCACGAATTCGTGTTAACCGAAATTGAAAAAGACTTGGACCGCTGCATGTGTCCATTGGAAAACTCTTTCAACATAAATTACGAAAACCATAATTCGTTGGCAAAGCACCAACTGTCTTTGTGTAATAATTCAGAAGCTGAATCTGCCAGTGCTGCAAACAATGGCAGCGTGATAGATGCAATACGACAGAAAAAAAGATTACTGCATAACAATTTCGAAAAAAAACCGGCAGAGAGGACTATTGGAGTTCTCGATGTCCGAATCATTAACGGACGGCTTGTTTCTTTTTCACGACAAGGAAACATACAAATTGATTATTGACGAATTTATGGCCGACAATTCCAATAGGTCAACACTCTTTACCACAGTACATTTTCCGGAAATCACAAGTGGGTTGGAGGGAGTCAAAAAACTTAAAAAGAGACAGCGTCAGATTATCGGCACGTTAACAATAATAATGCTGGAAATGATGTTGTCGTACACCCTTAAAACTTGCCAAAGGCGCGAATCCAAAAACTTTTTGAACAACACGAACACGTTCAAAAATCAAATCTTAGGCAAGTTTATGGACATAATGTCGTTGCACGATAACGGGGCATTCAAAAAGGTCTATGCACAATTAACATTTTGCTCATCCCTCAATAGAGAGTTCAAAGATTCCTTCGCTGAAGAGATGTTTGATGATTGCATGGATGTTATCGTATTACTAATTAACAATTCAATTAATAAAATTACGAAGAATGTTCGTTTACCCAAAATCAAATCAATAGTGAGCGATTGTGAAGGCGAGAACGTAATATCAAAGCCTACCGTTGATGATATTCTTAGAGAAAGCGAAAAGTTTGTCGTTAAAATTGAAAATCATATTATACCACATTCGATCAGGTTGGCGGAATCGTTTTGGATTATGGTCCGTGAAAAAATACTACCTAATACTAGTACTACGTCTCGTGATGAAGCTAATTGACCTAAAACATATTATATTATATAATCATAAAAAATAATTATTCATACTACAATACTAAGGCACTTTTATTTCACCATAATGCACCTTTATTATAATTTTTTCGATTGTGGATTTATTTAAAATTAGTACAAATAAATGTATAAATGATTATATCCGAATCCTTTTTTGAATGTGATATATTTACTACATTTAAATAACAGATCTAGTAGAACTGCATACTGTTAAACTAGTTCTATATAATTTAACATAATTTGATAGTAGGTTCTATGATTAGGTACCGGTCTCTAATTTTGTGGTTCTATTATAAACCAACATATTAAGAGATTAGTATAAAGAAATTGGACCACCATTAGAGACCATCTGGTTAGGAAGTATTAATACCATTTAAAGGATATAAGACAACTGGCCGTCGTTACCTACGTATGATAAGAATAGATTATTTCACAACTCTGTAAGTTATATAACTCAACTGGTAAACGTTTGACAAACCAAACAAATATCATAATAAGAAGTAATAATAATTAAAATAATAATAAATATATTTTCCCCTGAAAGGCTTGAAAACTTTATCATTATTTCGCTTTTTATGTGAAGTCCTAGGGTTTTAGGTCTGGCAAATAGACCAAGAGTAGATCTAAGGAAATCCAAAAAAGAGAAAAAATTACTTATTGACTATAGTCAATGTGTAAGTTGCTATGTGTTACGTAAAATGTGTATCGTTAAACGATACGTTTTGTGTCGTCTGATAATGTAGCTAAAGACAATCAACTGTTAGCATAAAACATTCTTTTAAGTTTTTATAATCGGAGAACTGTTTTTTTCTTATGGAAAATGAGTCGTTTTTAGCCATATCTTGTTTTATGATTATTTGTGTTTTAGAACGATTAAATTCGCTTCCACGATAGTACTCTATTGTTACAAATATTATAGCAAACACAAAGGATGTATCATAACTAACAATAATACTTAAGTATCATCTATTGCTCGCATCGAAGCTAAAAAGCTGCTTTTTCCACCTACGTATGTCTCGTAATGTGGAAAAACACATTTTTTGTTGTTGTGTGCATAGTAAATGAGCAGTAAATTTTAGGCAATATTTTTCGTTCATCACGATTAAAATCATTTAAAAAGTCTATTTTAAGGTAATATATTTGCTTTTCACGTATCTCTTCGAAAATTGTCTTAATAAATATGAAGACGTAAACTATTAAAATTGTCTTTGGATTTATTAATACAAAGCTCTCAAAATGTCCAGATTTTTCACAATCATAAATACTTACTAATTTTATAAATTTAAAAAAAATATATTTTTTGGCTATGTCCAAACTTTTCACAAACATAACTACAGTATACTCGTAAATTATATCATATTTAGACATTTTTATATGGTTATTATGCCAATCAAACTCATAACCGAATTTCCTTTTATAAATAATTACAATAGAGCCAGCAATAAAGAAAGAAAAATTCCCAACCAGTAGTTTTTTTTTCTTCAAAAGCCTTATTAATATATTTACTTTATTATTCTGAAAGTCTCCATCGATCGGACTAACATCAAAGCATAGTGGGATGGAGTAGTCACAGGTCTACAGGAAATATTATAAATAAAAGTGATAAAATCCGTTTTAAATAAACAATTTCATGCTAATTTGTAAACTTTTACCTCATACTTAATATGCTGGTTTATACTGTGCTTGGTTTGAACTGGTTTAAGAATACTAACTACCGATTCGCTATGAAGGGTGTATTTGAAAGTGATTTATCCTGTAATAATTTGTTATTTGTAATTACTTGTAATAATTCCTGTAAATCTATGATCTCCACGTCCCCACTATGCCCCGACTCCACTGTACTGGCCTTTTCTAGATGTATTAATTTATTTATATGTATTTCGCGGTATGTTATTTATTAAAATGTGTATAGAATAAAAGGATCGTTATTTTTTACAAACAATTTTAGTATATTTCCTCGCTAACATTTTATTGTTTTATCAACAGAAATCTTATACTTGTGGAAAACACATTTGTTATATGATTTTCGATCGTACAAACGCGAAAATAAAGAATAAAATCAATATTTGATAATCACATCGCAGAACTTGTTGTTTAAATAAGACCTTTGTTTAAGCAATGCATAGGTATATTGATGCATAGATGAGATGTATACGATAAACACGTAATAAGGTCATCACTAACAAAACAACTTGCAAATACGAATTTTCAAAATCATTAAATAAACTATTTGTAAGTGCCTCGCTCGACTTTTGTGTAAATAAGTGGTTTATGTAAAAAAATACGACGGTATTTTTATGAAAAATATATCGATACTTCGCACAAGTACATCGAAAAACGCATCTACAAGTCCGAATAAGTAAAATCAACGCCAAGTTCTTTTATCAACGATAGCTGTAAATAATTAATACAAAAGTATTATAATATTTCGCCAGTGAAGCAATAATTGTAAGAAGTGACAAAATGGCTGTGTTGAAATTATGGTATGTAATGGTTTTTCTTATAACCGGTGTATGGAGTTACTTAGGCAATATACAAAGCTTAAAGCAATTGGCTACCGGTTACAATAACCAAGACGAATATGTTCGTGAAAAATTGGAAAATTTGTCTGTGTTTGATTTGCGCTTAAAAATATCGGATTTGTACCTTCAACTGGAATGCGGATACTATTACAGCATTGAGTTTCATTTGAAATTAATGGGCGATGCGGTTTTCGACAACTTCCAAAAAATTCTCACGCCGGAGACAATTGATGATTTTTCGTTCGATAAAGAAGCGACCATGATGCTCGATTCTTTAATGGATCCAAAACAATACGCGGTAATCAATCTATGGTTATATTTTATACACACCCGTCAATTAAGGGTTTTCTTCGAGCAAATTCTTAATGACGGTGATAAAATGAATTTGGAAATTTTAAACAAAACCCGACGGATGTACGAGTTCGTGCTATTCGACTTAAATAAATACTTGCACCGTTACAAATGTCCATTGGAAAACTCTTTCAATATGAAATACAAAAAACATTTTTCGCGTGCAGACAAACAACTGTCTTTGTTAAATAGTTTAAGTACCGAATCTGCCAGTGCTGCAAACAATGGCAGCGTGATAGATGCAATAAGACAGAACAAAAAGTTACTGCATAACAACTTCGAAGCAAACCGGCAGAAAGGACTATTGCATTTGTCGATGTCCGAATCGTTAACGGACGGCTTGTTTCTTTTTCACGACAAGAAAACATACAAATCGATTATTGATGAATTGGTGGCCGACAATTCCGATAGGTCAACACTCTTTACCAGAGCACCTTTTCCGAAATTTACAAGCGGGTTGGAGGGAGTCAAATTACTTAAGAAGAGACAGCATCAGATTATCGGCACGTTGAAAACAATTATGTTGGATATGATGTTGTCGTACACACTTAAATCTTGCCAAAGCGACCAATCCGATGACTTTTGGAACAACACGAACACGTTCAAATATCAAATCGTAGGCAAGTTTATGGACATAATGTCGTTGCACGTTAACGTGGCATTCACAGAGGTCTACGAAAAATTCGCAAGTTGCTCATCGCACGAAAAAGGTTCCTCTAAATTTGACAATTGCATGAAATATTTAAAAGATGACATTCAATGGTTAATTGATGAAATTACGAAGAAATTTCGTTTACCCAAAATCAAATCAATAGTAAGCGGTTGTAAAGGCAAGAACGTAATATCAAAGCCTACCGTTGATGACTTTCTTAGAGTAGGCAAAATGTTTGTAGATAAAATTGAAAATCATATTATACCACATTCAATATGGTTGATAGAATGGTTTTGGATTATGGTCCAAGACAAAATACCCACGAATGATCCTACTAAAATGTCTTGCTTTGAAGCTGAATACCTATAACATATTTATTATTTATAATCATAAAAAAATAATTGTTCGCATTTCAATGGCACTCTTATTTAATTATAATGCACCTTTGTTTTTATTATTTCGGTTGTGGGTTTATTTGAAATTAGTACAAATAAATTTATATGTACTTGTACGTATAGCGTTCTATTTATTATAAGTCATCAGCCCAGGAACTTTTTAGCTTAAGCGTCGAGAAAAAAAAAGCATTGTGGCTTTTATGAGGTATTACTTTGGTCTGCACATTTTTCAGTCCAAACAGAAATTTGATTTTTGTAGTTGTTCAAATTATTTCAAAGTATCAATTGAATTACTACAACCGTATAGCTGTTGACTTGATGGTTAGCAAAGTAAACGGTGCGAATCTCATTCAGATATTGTTTTCTTCAGTTTTGACTAGGTATTATTTACATGGACCATGTCGTATGGTTTAAATACAAATACCTGTGAAATAACCGTGTTCTGCTGGTGCGGTTTACTAAAATGTTAAAATTAATTGTATCATCAATTACAACAAATATAATTTATAGCAATACATATTATATAGAACTTGGTCTATGGTCCTTCAATGTCCTTAATCATTTAGTCGAAGTTTTGTTAATAATAAATAAAAACAAATTTTATAAACATAATGTAAAACAAAACATATTATATAAATATTGCAAACAGTAGTGAGAAAAAAATACATTATTTATATAAGTTTTTTATCTCACCCATAACTAATTGGCTTATAAGAAAACAACATTTTTCTTGAATGCGATGTTATTACTACATCTTAATCACAGGTCTAGAAGAACTGAATAATCTTTAACCTTGATGCTCCATTACAAACCATCATATTAGGAGGTTAGTATAATAAAATTGGACCAACATTAGAGACCATCTGGTTATGAAGTATAAATACCTCCTTATCATAGGAATAGATTATTTCACAACTCTGTAAGTAGTATAAGACAACTGATAAACGTTGACAAACCAAACAAATATCATAAATCTATTCCCCTGGAAGGTGTGGAAACTTTTTCTTTATTTCGCTCTTTAGGTGAAGTTTTAGGGTTTTTAGGGGAAAAAGCCAAAAAGGGGATAGTTAAACTTTGACGGTAGACAAACAACTGTTAGCATCAAACATTTACAGTAAGTTTTTACAATAAGACAACTGTTGTTTTTTTACAAAAACAATTTAATATTATTAC